CGAAATCAAGCTCAAACCAAAATCGAGGGTTCTAAGTAAGATCGAGCTCGCAGACAAAAGCCATTGCAATCCCACTAGAGAGAATCTTGGCAGAAATTATGAAAAAGCTGACTTATCATGGGTCTCCCACTGAATGTTTATTTTATTATGCTTTGAGCCAAATCCCTCCACTATAAAAGGGCTTGGTTACCATTTCTGTAGGACAAGTTTTTCTCAGGCTTACATTGTAATAAAAGTGTTATATTCTTCTACAGTAAAGAATCGTTTCTTTCAGATTTCTTAGATTGATTCTATTTGTTGAATCCTAAGATTCATTGTTCCTGATAACCTTATCTATTTTGCATTCTCCCCAATCTATATTTACATTTTTATTTATCCTTCCATTTTGTATTAAGTTACGTCACATATCCTCGGAACTGCGTATAAATTCAACTCTATTCATTTTTTGGATAAACAATTTTCTTCCTCGTTATTTCTAGTTTTTAATGCCTGCCCTAGTTTTTAATGCCTGCCTCTCCTTCCTTCAGCCTACTACCTGTAGTGCAGCCAATCCCTAATATTGGTGTCATATAAATACCACAGACCATACCAACCCCATTCTGACCTTCAAAGGTCCATCCTTGCCTCTTCTTCTTCTCTAGTTTATTACTACCAGCTAGCATTGATATGAAAGTCGTATTGGTTATAAATCATTTATTTATCCAATAAACATCACATTGGTTATCTCATTTTATATGATGCTTATTATTTTTTCTATTTTATTTTATGTAACAACTTATTAGTTCATTAAAAAAAAATACGTATAGAATTTGGAAATAATTCATTTTAAACTTCTCAATTTATTCTAATGAACAGTTTTTACAACGGCACAATATTATAACATGTTTGAGAACAAGTCTAAAATTATTATACTAATATATTTAAGATGACAAGTTTCAAAAGTTTCTGTTGGAATAGAGGTGGTACTATTAAGAACTTGATTTCTTTTTTACAAAATGTTGTAACGTATTTTCAAACTTTTAACTACAAAATTGCGATACATTCTGTTTCTTTATGAAATTATAAATTAAGTGCGTAATTTATATTCATTTAGAAGTGTGGAATCGCTGTCCTACAAAACGAATGAAAGACCTCTGTAATTGGAATAACAGAGTGCTTGCCTTATACCTTAGTCAGAATTCTCATTTAAAACTAAATGGTTTGACTCTTAATATTATTTTTGAGATTGAAGTACTAATAGTATATACCTATCTATCGTTTCCCAAAACATATTATATTCTAATATAATGTTCGTTGGTTCGGTTTGAATTGATTTTTCTCTAAACGGAAACCAAATCAAGTAAGTTAGTTTTTCAAATATTTGAACCAAACCAAATCAATTAAGTCGGTTTTTTATCGATTCAGTGTATGTCGGTTTTTGTCGGTTTTCCGATTTTGTCAGTTATTTATTGGTTTTTTACTTAAATATGAGACATACACTACCAAACACATATTCCGTCGACTACATTTTCAACATAATACTATCAAACCAATTGCTTTTTGAGAAATTTATCATTTACCAAGATATATTGATGATGATTGAACCAAATAGTGACGAATAATTTTAGGACTCAATTAAAAATAGATTATTTTAATATGAAATAAATTCTTGTATTTAGCAAAAGAAAACTATCAATCAAACTAGAATGTAAAGGCAAAGAACTAGATTATTATAATAGCAAATAACTAGAAAAGTGCAAACTATTAAAATGTAACATAAAGTTTTAGAAACTTTATATAAGAATATTCATATATATATATATATATATATATACTAATAAATTTTAAACAGTTACTTCTATATTCGGTTTGGTTCGATTTTTTCCGATTATTTTTTGATTAAAACCAAAACCAAAACTAAATTTGATCGATTCAATACTAAAATCAAATCAAACCGAAAAGGTATCGGATATTTTAATCGATTTGATTCAATTTGCGGTTTGTTTCGATTTTTCTAATTTTTATGAATATTCCGCTTCAACGTACGTAGTAAAAAGACAGAGACGTTGGAGACGTTAAAATTTGGAATTCGAAAATCGAAATATTAATCGTGCCGCATTCATTAGTTGCCACTGAGGCACGTCTTGTTTAGTTTAAAAGTTTCACCATTATTTTTTTGTTTTTAAAATAAATTGGCAACTTTTTTTCGCTGCAAAAATCAGATGTTATATCTTTTAAGGTCGAAGCAATTTACTCTGAAAAAAAGTATTTTACAAAAAATATTTTTGACCAAAAAGAAACATAGTCAAACAGCCAATAAATATAGGTAATTCCAAACTCCATACGTATGGTCTTCACACAAAATTATCTCGAAAATTAATGCGTAATCAACTTTTAATAAGATTATTTCTTTCTTTTTTTAATTTACCATCCGAATCAATTTTTCACATAGCTAAATTAATATTAGTTAATTAATACATGTATCTTTCTATTAATTAAATATTACCTTACTATGAATATCAGTAAGTATTCGAAAAATTTATAAGTTAAAAATTGTTTAAATTTGGAAAAGATTAGCCAAAATAGATGTGGGTGAAAGAGAGAGCACCGAAACCAGAGAGAGAGAGTGCATGATGACGAGTCACTCCTAAGACTCATACGCGTAGCTGTCCAGCTGTCCGGCCACGGATTCCCCTGATTGCGTACACACCGGACCACCCCCTGGACCCTACCTTACTCGCTCTCTCTCTCTCTCTCTCACACACACACACACTAAAGAATGACAACATAACTCACCCCCAAAATATATCCCCAATATTTTCTACTCCCATCATTCTTACTCTATACTCCTTTCTTTGTGTGGACTGCCTGTATGTAGTGAGAGAAAGTAAGAGAGAGAGAGAGAGAGAGAGAGAGAGAGAGAGAGAGAGAGAGGGTATGAGGGCGGGTCACGGCGGAATATTGAAAATGGATGGGAGAAATTGCACTCTCACACTATGTTTCGCCGCTCATTGTAGACAAACCCACAAAGAATAATAGCCCATTGTGAAAAGAAAAAATTGCTCTTTATACTTCTAAGAGATCTCACATATTCGCAAGTCATTTAAAGGACAAAATTTCCAATGGCGAAGACAGGTATAGTTGAAGGCGATCCAATTTCAGTGGCGACTGCAAAGGCAGCAACAGAGTTGAAAAGGGAGTTACAGAGACTCGTTAAGGCTATTTTATCTGAAGATGAAATCAATGTGGACGCCATTGATAAAACCCATCAAACCCTTTTCGCCTTAAAAGACCTAAAGCTTAAACGACAGTCCTCGTTCAGGACTCCACCTGATTCTGCTCGTGTTTTGCCTGATGAATTTCGCTGCCCACTTTCTAAAGAACTTATGAGGGATCCTGTTATCGTTTCCACCGGTCAGGTTAGTACTAACATTCACTGTCATAATTCACTTTTGAAGATTATAATTTTTTTTTCTCGGTTCATCACCATAATCGTGAGAGTTTTTTTAATTAAGATTCATTTTTATGGGAATACGCTAGGTATGCTGTTATTGTTGTTGTTGGGTGTGTTTGATGGATTTTATGAGGTTGTGGAATTGTGGGGAAGTGGCAGTTCTTTAATTGTTTTTATTTTTTATTTTCCAATTTAGCCATCTTTTTTATGAAGTGCGGGTGTTTGCTCATGTGGGCTATTTTTTAATTAGGTTAAAAAGTTAATAATGATCTCTGATTAATTAGTTCTTATGAATGTCAATATTAGGGTATAACAGTGTGTACTAATCTTTCTTCCGTGGTACATTTCTTTTTATTTTTCTTGTTATAATGTTTTAAGTAAAAATAAAGCCTTTGATGTCATTGGAGTTTTGTTTTCATGTAATTACATGTAAATCCAATTATGCTGTCTCATCGATCATCCTTTTGATGATTGGGTCAATTTTTTTTCTGAACTCTCCCACTGCAATTAGGGGATTGTTAAGCATTTCTGTAATTTTCAAGATTCGTCTATTAGTCTTTGTTTTTTCATTAGTTTTCTATAAGAGCTTGTTGATTTGTAGGTTGTTAGTTTTAGTGATAAGGCATATTGCTTATATTTTGTTGGAATTTTGCAGACTTATGATAGACCCTTCATTCAGAAATGGTTAAATGCTGGAAATAGGACGTGCCCTCGAACACAACAAGTGCTTTCACATACAATTCTTACACCTAATCACTTGATTCGCGAGATGATCTCACAATGGTGTAAAAATAATGGGATTCAAATGCCAGACCCTGTTCAGTATCTGAATGATGAAGGGTTGACTGAAGCTGATCGAGATTTATTCTTCTCTTTGCTTGAAAAGATGTCTTCAATATTATCTGATCAAAAAGTTGCTGCAAGAGAATTACGTTTGTTAACGAAGAAAATGCCTTCTTTTCGGGCACTATTTGGAGAATCTGCAGATGCTATTCCTCAACTAATGCGCCCCCTCTCTCGAAGCAATAGTGGTGTTCATCCGAATCTCCAAGAAGACATAATCACGACACTTTTGAATCTTTCCATCCATGACAATAACAAGAAGCTCGTCGCAGAGACTCCAATGGTTGTTCCACTTCTTATGGACGCATTAAGATCAGGAACGATTGAAACAAGGAGCAATGCAGCTGCTGCCCTTTTCACACTGTCTGCCCTCGACTCTAATAAAGAGCTTATCGGAAAATCTGGTGCTCTGAAACCGCTGGTTGAACTCTTAGATGAAGGGAATCCGGTAGCGATGAAGGATGTTGCTTCAGCTATTTTTAGTCTGTGCATTATCCATGATAATAAGGCAAGAGCGGTTAGAGATGGTGCCGTGAGGGTTATCCTGAAAAAGATAATGAATAACGTGCATGTCGACGAATTGCTAGCCATACTAGCAATGCTATCAACTAATCAAAAGGCAATTGAGGAAATGGGAGACCTTGGAGCAGTTCCATGTTTGGTTAATATAATAAGGGAGACCTCTTGTGCTCGCAGCAAGGAGAATTGTATTGCAATCCTTTACACAATCTGTTATACCGACAGAACCAAGTGGAAGATAATAAGGGATGAGGAGAAAACCTACGGGACAATCTCTCAACTTGCTCAAAATGGTACAGCAAGGGCCAAGAGAAAGGCCAATGGTATTCTCGACAGACTGAACAGGGCTGTGAATCTTACCCATACTGCATAAAGAGAAGCAGTTGAAGCACAAAATCTGTAAATTCTGCTCCAACCTTATTAGCCCTTTTCCTTTCATCAATATATTGAGGCATGTTGTGGTTCGTTTGCAACCTTCCATTTTGTACATTCTATCTGAGTTTTTACAAGTAATAGTCATTGTGAATAATTACTATGAGGGAGTTTTTTGTATAAATAAAATCATTGTCTTTTAGTTTGATTGATTGTTTGCATATCTAGCGGAAGAATTGTGAAACATTGTGGGCTTTTCTCCTCAATATGCTACCAATAAGATTGTGATTGGTTGCATTGAATTTTCTTTATTTGTATTTGTGAAATAATTGATCCACATGGCTCTCCTGTCGTGGTGGGATATTAGCTTAAACTTCAATGGAAGTATCAGCAAGCAAGTGGGGTTGCTTTGATTTGTCTGCAAGCAAAAATGTTATATTTCTACTTTGAATCTTACTGTGGAAGGGCAGATAATGTTCCTTTCTTTTCTCCACAGTAATGGTAACAAGGTCCACTGTCCACATGGCTGGCTCGAGTGGGGTTGTGTTACTGATGGCAAAAAACAAAAGGGCGATTCCTTCCTACCCCTTTGGTGATGGTAGTGTTACTCTCACTTTACTTGGTTCTGGCTTTGAGTGGAAAAGCCAAAAACTCAAAACCAATTAGTTGAGGTGATTTTTCTAGGTATTGATAGTGAAGTTATTCCGTATATGTGTTAAGAGTTGATTTCTTTTCATTTGGGTGAAGTTATTCAGTCGATTTATTCGGTGAAATAGTTAAGGGTGTATTTGTTAATAGGTGGTAGCAGGTATTCGATGAAATAGTTAAGGGTGTAATACAGATATAACCGGCCAAAACGAAAGCCAAAAATTCTTTACCCTATGGCACTAGGTTATCCAAATTCTATTATCTTCTACCATATCAAGGTTATGGATAAATGAATGAATGGTTCTAGAATGTGGATGGAAGAATACCGAACGGGAAGAATATGCCCATATTCAATGGTCTTGTGATATTTGTTGACATGGTCCATCCATCGTGCAATAAAAACCACCCTTTTTTCGTTTTTGGTTATCAAGTCTTCATTCCAACAGTAAACCACCAGCCTTTTTATCCTATCTGTTCACTGCCGTGGTAACCTTTTTTATTTTACCCCTTTCTGTTTGAAGTGGTCCCTGGTTGTGGCAACATGGCGAGACTAAGCTAGTGTTTGGCCATAAATTCTTAAATTTGTTTTAAAAAATCTGTTTTGGCTGAAGTTTGACTTGGAGATGAAAATATGTTTGGACATACGTTTTCAAAACATATTTTCCAAATTTATTTTGGAAAAACATGTGTATTATTAGGGATTTGGCCCAAAATCAGCTATTGAGCTGGTTTTGGGATTTGAGATTTGGGATTTGGGATTTTACCAAAATATAGGCAAAATCTATGGCCAAACTTGTATTTGCCAAATAAAATCCAAGTTTATTTTGACAAAATCTATGACCAAACGGGTCCTAAATTTTTCTTATACGGTCCCGGTACTAGTAAGATGTATAAATTTTACTGAATAAATTTTATGGGTGGTCTTCAACTTTGTGTTCATTATTCAAAAGTCACTTTTCTTTCTTTTGTTACGTAAAAGTCATTCAACTTTGTGTTCATTACCCAAAAGTCATTTTTCTTTCTTTTGTTACACAAAAATTATTTTACTATGCTCTAGTTATCACAATAATCATTGACCAGATTTTACAAACCATTCACCTGAAAAGTCTATTATGCCCTTGTCAATATAAATCCTCCCATTTATGTAATACCTTCTATATTATATTCTACATATTATACTTTTACCCAGGTATTTTACTTATAATTAAAATAACTTAATATTATTTTGTTTATTATTTTTATACTCGTATATTTATTTTTTTCTTAGTATTACTTTTCAAGATATATAAGTAGTATTATTATATTTATCAATAACATTACCGCGAACAAATCTCAAGTCCACGTTCTTAATCATACTTAATGAAATATGTTTAATAAAAATTAAAAAATCAAAGCTCATTGATTTATCAGCCAAGCCATACCCATTAATTTAATAAATAAACTACCCGCATTTAGCAAAATGATACATCAGATTAATACTTTCAAATAAATAATATTAACAGATAAAGCTTTAAAAAATTAATATTAAACACAAATATCTTTAAAACTTTTTTTAAAATTTTTATTGACTATAAAAAACTATCATTTGTTAAAAAAATCTATTTTTATTATTTTAAATAAATATTAAAAAATAAATATTTTTTATCATTTTTATATTTAAAATATGTTCATGTTTGAATATGTTTAAACAAATTGAGTGTCCGGAAAAATTAAATGTACGGATATTTTATAAAAATAATAAATAAAATAATTTAAAGTTATTTTAATTATAAGTAAAATACCTAGGTAAAAATATATTATATAGTATATAATATAGAAGATATTACATAAATGAGAGGATTAATGTCAATGACATAATAGACTTTTCAAGTAAAAGTATTATAAAATATGGCCAAGGTGACTTTTGCAATAAATAGAGTAAAGTAAAATAATTTTTGTATAATAAAAGAAAGAAAAATAATTTTTGAGTAATGAATACAAAGTTGAATGATTTTGAAAAAATAACTTTTGAATAATAAACACAATTGAATGATCACCCGTAAAATTTTGCGCGGAAGGTTTTGTTCAGCTGTAAGAGCATATCATGTTATCATGTTATGTATAAGTGCATATGAGGCGATCGAACACTGTCACCAACACGATATTAATATTTAAATGGAGAGGAATAGGGATATACGAATTCATTATTCACTGAGTTTGAACCGTACATCACTTTATAAGATGTTAAGACTATTCAGATAGTGTACTGTTTTCACAATGGCGGTGTAGATAACTTAATACTAGTATTATTTAGTTTGGACGTATATGCAAAATGACAGAGAAGTAAAGTGTTTTGGTGTCCAGCCATCTAAGTAACTGTTATTCCTCATGTCACGCTATGGTTTAACTTTTTTATCAATATAATAAAAGAAGCGAGTAGGTAATCATGTGATGCTTTTCATTATGTATAAAGAATATGGAATACAAGGTAGGTGGTCAACAGCTTTAATAGGAAATATGCCCCCTCCTCTTTTTAAAGATTTCTGATTCCCCATATCCATTTTCTTCTTAGATGGAGGAATAAAGAAAAATATAAAGGACAAAACAAAGAGTATAAGAGAAGTATTAAGTTCTTGATGATTTTTAAACTCTGCAGCCTAAGGATCTGGCCTAGAAGCGGATCCAAGATTTTAAAAGGAGGCGCACCACTGAAGATGGAATTACAAGTCATGGATGCAAGATGTTGGACCTCCAATTCCAACAATTTCTAAGCTAAGATTTTATCGGTACAGGAAGTTAGACGAGAGATATGGGAGTTTAGTGATTAATTATACATCAAACGTGAACACAATTTTTCCCTATCTACCTAGTCAATTACCCTTAATTTTATGTAGCATAACGAGCGCTTGTTAGGGGTGGACGTTCGGATAGTTCGGATTGAAAAAATTTCGGTTTGAATCATCGGTTATCGGATTGAAGAAATGACAATCCAAATCCAATTCAAATAAGCTCGGATTAGATCAGATTTTTTAAGTTCAGTTTCGGATTAATCGGTTTGGATATTTCAGATTCCCGGTTTTGCGCCTATAAGTTGAGATATTTCTTCTTCTTACAAAAAATGAACATTCAAATGAAGTATTTATGTTAAATTGCCTAAAAAGTTTCTCATTCACACCACAATCATTCAAATAAAGCAGTCAAGTAATGAAACCATCATCAAACAAATGCAACAGAAACATTAATAAGGCCAATAAGAATTAGCAATAGTAAAATCATGTCCGAATAGAACGTATTCTAACAATAACTTAGTAATAAATATTGAATATATGAGATAATTTCTGATGGTAAGCTACTGAACTTGTTATTATTTGCATATGGATTAAATATATAGTATAAAAAAATTGAATTTTCGGATATCCAAAAAAATTGATGTACCAAATCAATATCCAATCCAAAATTCAAAAATGGTAAAAATTAAATTCGAAATTCGATCCCCAAAAAAATCGGATTTCGGTTTGGATTTAGGATATTGCCATATNAATACCAAACTTGAAAATTTGAAAAAGGAAAACAGAAAATTAAGAAACAAGAGGGAATAACATACGAAATTTGGAAGATGACAAAAAGGAAAGAAAGAAAAAAGATCAAATGGTTTTGTGGCCCATTACAAACTTATTTTTAGTTTTATGATCCCATCTTTTTTTTAACACATGAAAAATCTATCTTTTATACGTAAAATATCTAAAAGATACTTTCTTAATTTCAACATTGTAATAAGACATAAAGGCCTATTTTTCTTATGGGTTCCCAAGTAGACATTAAAGTCAAATATTCAACATATATGCACTACAATGTATAGTTTGGGGAGAGAGCATGGGTCCTGTGCACCATAGTTATAAGCATAGATCCGTACTGAGTTCTGTATGACCTAAAAATTAGATCTAGATTTTTATACAATTCGATTTATAATAAAAGGGAGGATAAATCAAAGTCGATATTAAAATTCAATAGTACTAGTGCTTTTATGACGGGTATTTAATGCATGGTATCAGATGAGATTATCTTAGAACAATGATGGAGCAATAAAGGCTTGAAAACATAAAAGATAGCAATCAATGATAATAAATGACTTTTAGGTTATAAATGGAACGAGGTTCGCCTGACAAGAATGAGATTTTCCACTAAGTTTCCTGACAATGATAGATGGCGATAAACAGTTGAATATTCTGATTCTTCATGGATCGAGAGAGAAAGGTCAAAGAAAAATAAGTGTTATGCTTTGTATGTATTCAACAAAGAGAGAATCTTCCACAGAGAATGTCCATGATGTTCTTTACAAAAATATCCGATCCCCTTCTGGAACTACATTTCTTCCTATTTATAAGAGTACATGGGTCATAAAACCTTAGATAGTACAACAGAAAGGAATATTCACTAGAATATTCTTTAGGGAATCTAAATCCCAAAACTAGTCGTTACTGCGTGCCGAAGACGGAAGCTCGTTCTCGTCTTCTATCAAACTACCTCGATCTCAGCGACAATTTGTCTTCTTCACACGACCTCGACCTTTTAGGCTCAAGTTGAT